GTCAACCGGGAAATTAAAGAAGAATTAAAACAATTCATGGAAACCAATGAAAAGGAAAACACAACTGTTCAAAATCTTTGGGATACAGCAAAGGCAGTCCTGAGAGGAAAGTATATAGCAATACAAGCCTTTCTCAAGAAACAAGAAAGGTCTCAAATACACAACCTAACCCTACACCTAAAGGAGCTGGAGAGAGAACAGCAAATAAAGCCTAAACCCAGCAGGAGAAGAGAAATAATGAAGATCAGAGCAGAAATCAATGAAATAGAAACCAAAAGAACAGTAGAACAGATCAACGAAACTAGGAGCTGGTTCTTTGAAAGAATTAACAAGATTGATAAACCCCTGGCCAGATTTATCAAAAAGAAAAGAGAAAGGACCCAAATCAACAAAATCATGAATGAAAGAGGAGAGATCACAACCAACACCAAAGAAATACAAACAATTATAAGAACATATTATGAGCAACTCTATGCCAGCAAATTAGATAACCTGGAAGAAATGGATGCATTCCTAGAGATGTATCAACTACCAAAACTGAAGCAGGAAGAAATAGAAAACCTGAACAGACCTATAACCACTAAGGAAATTGAAGCAGTCATCAAAAATCTCCCAACAACCAAGAGCCCAGGGCCAGACGGCTTCCCAGGGGAATTCTACCAAACATTTCAAGAAGAATTAATACCTATTTTTCTGAAACTGTTCCAAAAAATAGAAATGGAAGGAAAACTTCCAAACTCGTTTTATGAGGCCACCATTACCTTGATCCTCAAACCAAAGACCCCATCCAAAAGGAGAATTACAGACCAATAACTTGATGAACATGGATGCAAAAATTCTCACCAAAATACTAGCCAATAGGATCCAACAGTCCATTAAAAGGATTATTCACCACGACCAAGTGGGATTTATCCGTGGGCTGCAAGGTTGGTTCAACATCCGCAAATCAATCAACGTGATACAATACATTAACAAAAGAAAACAAGAATCATATGATCCTCTCAATAGAGGCAGAAAAAGCATTTGACAAAGTACAGCATCCTCTCTGCATCAAAACTCTTCAGAGTATAGCAGTAGAGGGTACATACCTCAATATCATAAAAGCCATCTATGAAAAACCCACAGCGAATATCATTCTCAATGGGGAAAAACAGAGCTTCCCCCTAAGGTCAGGAACATGGCAGGGATGTCCACTATCACCACTGCTATTCAACATAGTATTAGAAGTCCTAGCCACAGCAATCAGACAACAAAGAGAAATAAAAGGCATCCAAATCGGCAAAGAAGAAGTCAAACTCTCACTCTTTGCAGATGGTATGATACACTATGTGGAAAACCCAAAAGACTCCACCCCAAAACTGCTAGAACTCATACAGGAATTCAGTAAAGTGGCAGGATATAAAATCCATGCACAGAAATCGGTGGCATTCCTATACACCAACAACAAGACAGAAGAAAGAGAAATTTAGGAGTCAATCCCATTTACAATTGCACCCAAAACCATAAGATACCTAGGCATAAATCTAACCAAAGAAGCAAAGGATCTGTACTCAGAAAACTATAAAATACTCATGAAAGAAACTGAAGAAGACACATAATGGAAAAACGTTCCATGCTCATGGATTGGAAGAACAAATATTGTGAAGATGTCTATGCTACCTAGAGCAGTCTACACATTCAATGCAATCCCCATCAAAATACCATCCACTTTTTTCAAGGAAATGGAACAAATCATCCTAAAATTTGTATGGAACCAGAAAAGACCCCGAATAACCAGAGGAATGTTGAAAAAGAAAAGCAAAGCTGGCGGCATCACAATTCCGGACTTCAAGCTCTGTTACAAAGCTGTCATCATCAAGACAGTATGGTACTGGCACAAAAACAGACACATAGAACAATGGAACAGAATAGAGAGCCCAGAAATGGACCCTCAACTCTATGGTCAACTCATCTTCGACAAAGCAGGAAAGAATGTCCAATGGAAAAAAGACAGTCTCTTCAACAAATGGTGTTGGGAAAACTGGACCCAAGCCACATGCAGAAGAATGAAACTGGATCATTTCCTTACACCACACACAAAAATAGACTCCAAATGGATGAAAGACCTAAATGTGAGACAGGAGTCCAACAACATTCTAAAGGAGAACACAGGCAGCAACCTCTTTGACCTCAGCCGCAACTTCTTCCTAGAACTAGTGCCAAAGGCAAGGGAAGCAAGGGCAAAAATGAACTCTTGGGACTTCATCAAGATAAAAAGCTTTTGCACAGCAAAGGAAACAGTCAACAAAACCAAAAGACAACCGACAGAATGGGAGAAGATATTTGCAAATGACATATCAGATAAAGGGCTAGTATCCAAAATCTATAAAGAACTTCTTAAACTCAACACCCAAAGAACAAATGATCCAATCAAGAAATGGGCAGAAGTCATGAACAGACATTTTTCCAAAGAAGACATCCAACGGCCAACACACACATGAAAAAATGCTCAACATCGCTTGGCATCAGAGAAATCCAGATCAAAACCTCAATGAGATATCACCTCACACCAGTCAGAATGGCTAAAATTAACAAGTCAAGAAACGACATGCTGGCCGGGATGTGGAGAAAGGGGAACCCTCCTACACTGTTGGTGGGAATGAAAGCTGGTGCAGCTACTCTGGAAAACAGTATGGAGGTTCCTCAAAAAGTTGAAAATAGAGCTACCATATGATCCAGCAATTGCACTACTGGGTATTTACCCCAAAGATACAAATGTAGGGATCCAAAGGGGTACGTGCACCCCAATGTTTATAGCAGCAATGTCCACAATAGCCAAACTGTGGAAAGAGCCAAGGTGTCCATCGACAGATGAATGGATAAAGAAGATGTGGTATATATATACAATGGAATATTATGCAGCCATCAAAAAGAATGAAATTTTGCCATTTGCAACGATGTGGATGGAACTGGAGGGTATTATGCTGAGCAAAATAAGTCAATCAGAGAAAGACATGTATCATATGACCTCACTGATATGAGAAATTCTTAATCTCAGGAAACAAACTGAGGGTTGCTGGAGTGGTGTCGGGTGAGAGGGATGGGGTGGCTGGGTGACAGACATTGGGGAGGGTATGTGCTATGGTGAGCGCTGTGAGTTGTACAAGAATGCTGAATCACAGATCTGTACCTCTGAAGTGAATAATACATTATATGTTTAAAAAAAAGAAGAAGATAGCAGGAGGGGAAGAATGAAGGGGGGAAAATCAGGGGGAGATGAAGCATGAGAGACTATGGACTCTGAAAAACAAACTGAGGGTTCTAGAGGGGAGAGGGGTGGGAGGATGGGTTAGCCTGGTGATGGGTATTGAGGAGAGCATGTTCTGCATGGACCACTGGGTGTTATACGCATACAATGAATCATGGAATACTACATCAAAAACTAATGATGTAATGTATGGTGATTAACATAATAAAAAAAAAGTTAAGAGCTCTTTATCCTCTCCATCCTGCTGCTAGGGATGCAGATTTGATGATAAAAGCTGAAGCAGCCTCTTTAGACAGAGATGGAAGCTACAAAATGAGAATGGCAGAGCTGCGTTCTTTGTTGTGGACCTCCTACCTCTGAACTCTTATGCAAGAGAAACAAAATTCTATACTGTTTAAGCTATAGAGGTTTTTTTTACACCTTTTGTGATAGTTTTAGACTGCACCTTAACCAGTAAGTGTGAAATATTAGCCTGAACAGAGAAAAAATATTTGTATTATTATGTAGTTCAGTGTTTTCTTTTTGGTGGGGACAGGAGGTATTATAGCTGACTTTATGCTATAACTACAACCTATGTAAGCCCCTGGGACATTAGCCGACTTCTATAAAAATGAAAAAAGTACATACTGAATTCTTATTCTTAACAATAGCTAAATCCAAACTATGTTCTTGGATCAGAAAGATTTTATTGGCTGTTTTGTTTTGTTCTATACAAGAGATTACTGGGACAACTGGTGAACTCTGAATGGGATTATGGATTAGATGGTAATAATGTAGCAATGTTTTCTTTTTTTTTTAAGGTTTTATTTATTTATTTGAGAGAGAGAGAGAGAGAAAGCACAAGTAGTGGGGAGGGGCAGAGGGAGAAGCTGACTCCCCACTGAGCAGGAAGGCAATGCAGGGCTCGATCCTAGGATCCTGGGATCATGACATGAGCCGAAGGCAGATGCTTAACAGACTGAGCCACCCAGGTGCCCCATATCAATGTTTTCTTGATTCTAATTGGTATACTGTAGTTATTTTAAGAGAGTATTCTTGTATTTTAGGAAATATACACTGAAGAATATAGAGATAATGGGACATCACATCTACAACCTTTTGCCAAATGATTGAGAAAGAAGTATTAACATGAGAGACAGAGAGAAGGGAGCAAGAAAGAGAAAAAGGGAGGAAGAGAGAGAAGGCAATGTGGTAAACTGTTAAGAAATGAGGAATCAAGGTGAAGGATATATGACTTTTTTGTACAACTCTCGTAACTTTTCTGTAAATTTGAAATTATTTCAAAATAAGACATTTTAAAAAGTCATGTTTGAAAAGATGGTGTGATCCACTTGGAAATTCATGAAAAAAAAGACCAAAAAAACCTGTAAATCAAAAAGATCTTCACTATGTACAAAATACAAAGGTATCATAGTAGAAGAAAGAAAAATAAACAAGGTGATGCTGACCTGATTTCCAGGACAAGTTCTGCCACTAGTAAGTTTAAAAAAGTTGACTAAACTCTCTGAAATAAGGCATTTAATTAAATGGTTCCTTTCCAGCCTTAAAATTCCACAATTCTCAATTACTTCCAATGCTCACCTTCTTATATTCCATACATTTTCAAAAAGATATGTTTCATAATATTTATTTTTGTTAAATTCCGATACCAAAGTTCATACTGTTTTTCAATAAACTGAATAATCAATCTTACTGAAACCATTAAGAAGAGGACTCAAAGTCCTGTAAAGTTGGCAGCAGTCACCATACTCACATAATATCCACACCTCCCGGAGTAGCAGATGATGATGTCTGCTCTTTGCTGGATGAAGAATCAGTAGTACATTCTGGTTCGGATACCGAATCACTGCTGCAGGGCTCGCTATTTGGAGATGCATTTCTTTGAGAGGTAGTGTCGATTGCTATAGGTGTTAATTCACTCTCATTGAATGCATCACTTATAAACATGCCTTCATGGATTAAATAAGCCACCTCTGTGTCCAGTGAATTGTCTTTTGTAGCATTCTTCTGTTGTGAAATCTCTTCCAATTCTCTGGTCCTTCGGTTTTTGTCAAGAACTGAGAGAACAACACTGTGAATGATATTTAACGTTGCCTATAAGAAAACAGGATACATTTTTAAACGACTTAAAATAACATGTACCTAAAACTCTCAAAAGTGAATTTTGCATATGTACTTTTGAACATCTTATAAATGAGTGCCAAAGTCACGTGTATCAGAATTTCTACCAATCGTTGGGGCACCTGGGTGGCTCAGTCAGTTAAGCGTCTGCCTTCAACTCTGGTCATGACCTCGGGGTCCTGGGATGGAGCCTTGTGTCGGGCTCCCTACTCAGTGGGGAGCCTGCTTCTCCCTCTCCCTCTGCTGCTCCCCTTGCTTGTGCTCAGTCAAATAAATAAATCTTAAAAAAAAAAAAAAAATTTCTACCAATCTTTTATCACACAGTAAAGATGACTTGTGAAAAAGAACTACTCAAGAGAAATGGGTTCCCTAAAGCTTAGGAATAGTATTCTGTATTTTAATTGATTTTGTAAGTGGAAATCTCCCTAAAATATATATATTAAGTACCTTAAATAGCTTACACTAAACAAAACATAACTTGCCTATCACATATCTGGTAAGGGGTTAAACAGCCAGAATATATATATAATTATATATATATATATATATAATAATATATAAAGAACTCCTATAACTCAACAAAAAAAATCTGATTAAAAAATGGACAAAAAAAATATTTCTCCAAAGAAGACACACAAATGGCCAATAAGCACATGAGAAGATGCTCAACATCACTGATCATTAAAAAACGCAAATCAAAACTAAAATGAGATACCACCTCACACCCATTAGGATGGATACCATAAAAAAAAGAAAAAAATACAAGTGTTAGTATATGGAGAAATTGGAACCCTTGTATACTGGTAAATATAAACTTCAAATAGTTTTGTTCTTGTAACATGGTAAACACTAGTAAAAAACAAAACAACTTTTCTCTCTCTTTTTTTAAAGATTTATTTATTTGAGAGAGAGAGAGAAAGAGAGCATGCATGTGTCCATGTGTGAGGGAGGGACAGAGTAAGAGGGAAAGAGAATCTCAAGCGGACTCCACACTGAATGTGGAACCTGATGCTGGGCTCAATTCCACAACCCCGGTATCATGACCTGAGCCAAAACCAAGAGTCAGACACTCAACCAACTGCACCACCCAGGAGCCCCCAAAACAACCTTTTCTGATTACAAAAGTTATACATCTCTTGGTGGAAAATTTAGGAAAAACAAACAAAAAAAGAATAATAAATTTAAATTATACTAGCAAAGGATAACTATCAAAAAGACAAACTATCTCTTTATTCTACAAAGATGAAGAGGTAATAAATCTTTTTAACATAGCTGAGATCATACTATATAAATAGGTCTATATTTTGCCTTTTCACTTAATGTTATAATGTATGCATTTTCCTCAACATTAAAAATCCTCGGCTACATGATATTCCATGGCAATGAATATACCAGGCATAATTTACTTTACCATTCCTCCACTGTTAGACATCTGGGTTCTTTCCAATTTGCAGTTATTTAAAAATTCTCAATTAAAAATGAATAGCTTGTAATTAACACTATTTTCTCAGGGAAATCATATCCTTACAGAATCACAAACTTTTTTCAAAGAAAAAAGTACCATATTTATAGGTTATATATCATCGTCAAAGATGTTTTACAGAAGTATTAGCTTAAGGGGTCTAAATATGAAAATGAGAAATTAAAACTATGATAAGTCACTGTTCCCATACTGCACACACATCAAATAAAATTTTGGCTTAATTTAACTGATACAGAACCTAAAAGTGAAATAGCTATAAAAAAAAATTACTGAAAAAGATATCGAAGCAACCCAAGTGTCCATCCATAAATGAATGGGATAAAGCAGATGTGACACACACACACACACACACACACACACACACAGGAATATTACTCAACCATAAAAAAGAGTGAAATCTTCCCATTTGCAACAACATGGATAAATCTAGAGGGCATAATGCTAAGTGAAGTCAGTCAGAGAAAAACAAATACCATATGATTTCACTCATAGGTGGAATATAAAAAAAAAACAAAGAAAAAAAGAGCCAAAACCAAACTCTTAAATATAGAGAACTGGTGGCTGCCAGTGGGAAGATGGGGAGAGGAATGGGTGAAATAGGTGAAGGGAATTAAGAGTACATTTATTGTGGTGAGCACTGATTATGTACAGAATTGTTGAATCATTATAATGTACACCTGAAACTAATGTAACACTGTATGTTAATTATATTTAAATTTTAAAAAATTACTGGCAAAAAGCTGGCCAATTCTACAATTTGCAGTGTAAGAGTTTGATATACATCACGGACATGCAATAATAGAACTGTGTGTGATGAAGTCATGGTGGGAATACAGGAAAACGTGAAAACATGGCCTAGTTATTGAGCAATCCACAGATACAGGTTTGCTATCTATTGCTATCGATGCATGGGATCAACATTTTGGTAGAAGTCTAAATTAAGTACAGTGAATCAAGTGTTTAAAAATTTTTCCCACTCAGAAAGGTTATACACGTGACTTAGCATCACTCCAATGTTGATAAGGAAAAGTCATGTCACAGATAATTACCAAAGTCCTCCAGACCATTTAACAGGATACTCAGGAGATGCCAGGAATGTTACCTAGCACATGTAACACAATACTGACATCTGATAATTCAAAGAATGTCAACTTTCACAAACAGCCTGTTAGACTCAGTAATTCCTAATGACTATCTTATTAAAACACAGTTATGACATGTTGGTAATTCTAGCCAAAATGTATTAGTCTATGACATCTTTTCTTCTGAAAAATGCTGTGTGGCATGTGTTCTTTTCCTTATACCGAGTGGCTTAAAATTGAGTGATTTGACTAAAGAGAATAATTAAATGTAATGCATAATCCTTGATTGACTCCCAGATTAAAAAGTGAAATAAAAACCTATAATGAAAGACATTAGTAGAGCCATTTAAACATGAACTATAGGTTAAAAAATACCATTATATCAACATCAAATATTTCTAGAAAAAATAAGTGGTTTGGAAGATTTTTTTATTATTATTATTAACATATAATGTATTATTTGTTTCAGGGGTACAGGTCTGTGATTCATCAGTCTTACACAAGGTTTGGAAGATTTTTGAGTGTTTCACAATATTGTACCTCTAGATAATCCAAAGAGAGTCAAGAATCACAAAATCACAAGAGGAAACATTACTGTATAATATTTAATGCCAAGTAAGCATTATATTTTTAATATAAAATAAATCATCCAAAATTACAGAGTATCAAATACTCTGAAGCACTTCAAATCTTATTTGAAACCAAGCCTCTTCAGAAAAATTACAAAACAAAGACTTGTGTTTTTTTTCTAACTTGATTCTGTATGTATATTATATATCTAGAAAGTAGACTTACTTTTTGGGATATCCTAGACAAACTGATAATCACATAGGCTTACCTTAACTCTTTGTAGGAAAATTGTAAACTTAGAGAAAATATCCTTTAGCAGATCAAACCACTGAGGAAAATTCAACATTCTCATCTGATCTGCAAGCCTAGAAAAAAACAATTCAAACACATATAATGACTATCTTTGGGCAGCTAGGAGTTTACTCTCAAAAGATAATTCTATACTTGAGATACAGGAATTTCTCTATTTAAGTTGAGAAAATTTCATAGGGAAGAAAATTAAAAATAACTGACTATGTCCATAGGGCTTTTAACAGAATCCCAGTAACTTAATTTTTCCAACTACTAGTGACTCCTGCACTGCTACAGTTGCTTTAACTAATTCTGAAATGGAATTTTCACTAAGTAGTAGTGTGGAAATTAAAACTCCTCAATCCTTATTCTAGGAGTTTGGCCCAGAGAAGTTTCAGAGTTACCCATATTGCTATTCGTATCTTGGGCCAGTTAATAAAGTTTAGCTATCTATATGAAATAAAATTCATAGTTACAAAATATCATTATTCTCAAAATGAAAGAATAGGAATTTCAAGGGTGAAAACAAAAAATTATAGATAGGCATGAGGCAATTCAAAATCATGTATTCAAATTTCTCAAAGCCAATTAGAAGCTGGGTTTTAATTATACAGCTAAATAATTTAAACTTAACACTGCTATTCCTCTGAGATGGATTATCTTCAATTTCCCTCCTCCGTATCTACAATGTATCCTCTCCATCCCCTCTCTGCCTGGGAAGCTGACCTGCTGGGGTTGGCCAATGAGAAGCCCTTACAGAAGACTGGAAGGAGCAAAGGTACCGATAGCTCCATCTCCCTCCCTGAGAGGCTGTCTCAGGACAATTGCCTCCCACACTGAAGATCACTCCAACTACTATAGCTCTTCCCGCCCCACCCCCCCAACTACTAAGTGTCCTCCTTCTGAATCCTATTAACTGTTCTCATCCCTGTCCCTTAAAGGTCCTGCACTGTCACTTGTGATTTTCCCACACTCTGTTCAAACCTTAGTAAATAATTCCTTAACTAAATCCTCCTTAGATTATTCTAATGTGTCATCTTTTCCCTGACTGGTAACCCCAACCTAATATTTATACTTACTTCACAACAACATCTGTGTCAATTTCTTCTATTTGTGAAACTTTATTAATCACACACTGCAAAATTTAAGAAAAAAAAGTCTTTAGAATTCTAAGTACTAAATGGCTCAGTTCTATACTAAAAATGACCTCAATGACTATGAGCATCATTTTACCAGACTTTTCTTGTGTCTCTTATATACACCTCAAGGTATATGAAAAACTGTATATCCTTACCCTATTAAATAATTATTCCAGGGTATGCTTGAACTGTATTAACTAAAATCCCCTACTATTTAAAATTATTCAAAACCATACACCAAACAAACAAAACAACACCCAGAACTATAATTCTTAGGAACAAGGTATAAGCCACATATTAAAATTCCAAAAGAAATTCATTTGGGGGGTTATGTTTTCTTGCAATATACGCAACAGTTTAAGTTTTAAAAAATGCTTAGACTTCAGGAGAATCCTAGGAATTACAACAGCAGTTTTTAAAAAATTTGTTTAGAAGTACTACATACAGAAAATTATACAAATTATGTTCATAGCTCAGTAATTTTTTATAAAGGATTATAGTTGTATAATGAGAACGCAGATCATGAAATTGAACACTGCCAGTAAGCACCTCTCGTGCTCCCCTCCTAGTCACTACTTCCTCCCAAAAGATACTACTACTTTGATTTCTAATACCATAGATTAGTTCTATGTTTGAATTTTACAGAAGTGTAATCATACAGTGTATACCCCTTTGTGTCTGGTTTCTTTGGCTCTATATTATATATGTGATATTCATCCATGTTGCTTGATGTGATTTATTCATTTTCATTATTGTATAGTATTCAGTCATATAAATATACCAAAACTCTATTATCTTTTCTACTGATGACATAATTTGGGTTTTAAAAAAAAAAAAAAAGAATTTGGGTTTTTCCAGTTTTTTATTACCAATAGTGCTGCCATGAAATTTTGTGCAGTCTTTGGTGAACTTATGTATGCATTTCTGTTGGGTAAATACCTAGGAGCAGAACTGCTGAGTCATAATATATGCATATATTTAGTGCTAGTAGCTACTGTCAACAATTTTTGCAAGTTGTTGTAACAATTTTGAAACACAATGTTTTAGTGTTTGAAAGAGGTAAATGATGGGGTAATTATCATCTTTTTTTTTGCTTGTTTTATTTAAACATTAAAAGCTCAGAAATGGGGGCGCCTGGGTGGCTCAGTTGGTTAAGCGACTGCCTTCGGCTCAGGTCATGATCCTAGGGTCCTGGGATCGAGTCCCACATCGGGTTCCCTGCTCTGCGGGAAGCCTGCTTCTCCCTCTCCCACTCCCCCTGCTTGTGTTCCCTCTCTCGCTGTGTCTCTGTCAAATAAATAAATAAAATCTTTAAAAAAAAAAGCTCAGAAATGTACATTCAACCTAATGATGATGATTAATTAAGCCTAATATATTTAAAATTGTTCTTTTTCATATTTAGAAAACCTGAAGTTTTGTTAATGATACATATCTGAGTAAAAATGCAAAACAAAGATGAGGAAAGACTGAAAAAACAGATTTTGGTGTACAATTATCATTTCTGAGAGATAAGGATAAGAGGAAATAAGCGTTTAACTACTGCTGGCGAGGGTGTATTTGGTAAAATCTTTTTAGAAAGCAATTCAGTTCTGTCAAATAATTTAAAAACAGTTTTCACTCTCTGACCAATAATTCCACTTCTAGGAATTAGCTATAAGAAAATAGTCTTAATTATGGAAAAACCCAACAAAACTTTATACCAAAGATGTCATAGTGTTCTACAATACCAAACTGAAAACAGCCTAAATATTCAACAGAGAGGAAGGCATAATATAATGTTGATGGAATTTTACACAACCATCAAAAATGATGTTTCTGAAGGGCTTATATGAGAAAATGCTTATGATTCTAACTGAAATACATGTACAATTCAAAATCATATATAGTATGATAGCAACAATGAAAAACATCAGTAACAATTTACACTTAGAAATATTCTTAAAGTGATAATCTTTTGGCTGGTAAGACTATTTTTTCTCCTATATTTCCATATTTTGAGTTTTTAAATAAATGAGAAAATGTTACTATTATAACTGCATATATTATCACTAGGATCATGTAAAAATGAACTTAATAAAAAGATTCTAGACCAAAATATATTAAATAAAAACATACAATTACCTGTTTAATGATATTCTTTGCTGTAATAATCATTTCTTCACTATAGATTTCTAAAAAATTAAGTTTTCTTTGTTTTAAAAGTCCAAATACAAGAGATACAAGTCTTTCCTATTAAAATAAACACATGGAATTTCACAATTTAAATATAAAATAATCTCACTCAGAAGTAGAAATATTGAACATCATGGCTTTTATTATTTGATCCTCAGACCGCTATCCTACATATGGTATTTTCTAGAAGCCTTAAAAAAAAAAACCCTTTCAGAGTAATCTTGTCATCAGATTACTGGAGTCACTGTTTTAAGACAGGTCAATCCTAATGTACTATAGTGAATCAAATGAAGCTGGTTTGGGGGCAAAACAATTAAGTACATTTGGCCTAGTTTCAACAAGTAGTTAGAAAGTATCCTTCTCAAACCCTGATGACCTATAAATACTCGATGAGCCCTGTGCTTTTTAAGTCAGTGCGTCAAGAAGACTGAAATGATGACCTAGACTATTTGTGGAGGATGATCTACTAACACATACAAAAATCTCTTTACTTAGGCTGTTATCAGGGCTTCTGGATTCTTTACTAGTTCTTGGCAATAATCAGCATTAAAAAGTTAGCAGATAAGGGAAGCCTGAATATGATGTATTTGTATATGCATATGCATAAAACATGTTCATAACAGGGGCTCAGTGACTGTAAATGACTGATAAATTATTATATTGATCACTTTTATAAAAGACATACTCTAATACATACACATGGATATATGTTAATTCATCCTTTATCTATATTTTAAACTTGGTTTGTAAGTTATATAAGACCTCACTTTAAATCCAATTTCTAATTAAGGTATAAAATTATTCTCTAACTTCACAGGATAATGAACAATTATGGGGCTTGCTAAAGTCACATAGTTAGTGAAGGACTTCATAAAAGTGTGATTGAGTTTGAAACTTTAAGATAATTTTGCTGACTATAATCTGAGAAGAAAGAATGTGTTCTAAACTAAGACTGTTAGGAATTAACACTAAGCAATGACATCAATTTCATCCACAGTTCAAAGCACATACCTCTTCTAAAATTTGACAATCGTCTTCCAGTGGTCTGTTTAAGTCACTGTGAGAATAAGTAGAAAATTCTGCAATCATCATTTTATCTATCAGTTTTTCTAATTCACAAAGTTGTGATCCCAAATGCCTACAAAGGAAGAGGAAAATGTCACATATATTCATTAAAAACCCAATTTGCTCCACAATCAAGGAAACTAGTTGGCAAAACTTTTCTAGCTGACAGTATTTGTGCAATAATGTGATATTTGAGTAAAATGGAATCTGTTAACTTAACAAAAATAACTGTGATAGTTTCATATCATCTGTCAAATTCTTTTTTTCTTTACATGTTTAACCTCCAAACACTTAAATGTATTGTAGAAAACATGGTTTAGGAATTTCATGACTGCTTTTTTTGTCTGCTTTTCACAGACAAACTATTCAGATATTCTAAGTCTTCCTAATTAACCATTTACTGAATAGCAATGTCAGCAGCTCCCCAGCCATTCATTTATACCACAAATACAAGTGCCTACTATGGCCCTATCGGGGAGGATATAAATACCTGAAGGACTACAGGGACAGACTGACTCAATTCAATCTCTGTTATGAACTCAGAGTTAATGTGCAATTTCCCTCAGGTCATTATACTGAAAGTCAATAAAACACAAGATTGAAAATATAAAAATACTAAGCAACAGTCTATCCTTAGAACTTTTTCTCATAAAATATAATGTTCCTTTTTAATCTACTTCTAATATTTATAGATCCTACACAGGATTGGAGAAGGACTCTAATCAGATGGGCAAAGTTGTGTGGGTGGTTAAGGCAATATAGTTTACTAACAGGATTTGGAACAACTTCCCTAGAGAAAGCATGCAGTATCCAAATGACAAGAATGATCCCATGCAGTCCCTGCTCAGGAGAGCCCTAAGGATCACCGACCTTCATATATGAAGGGATCTTTACCATACAATCTAACAGCTTCATAAAAACAATGGGTAATCTAGTTGGTCCAAAGTATTTCAAAAATTAAGTGAAATAGGCCAATGAGAAATCTATTTATATAAAAAATTTTTATTTTATTTTATTTTATTTATTTATCCGACAGAGAGGTAGAGAGAGAGCACAAGTAGGCAGAGCAGCAGGCAGAGAGAGATGGAGCAGCAGACTCCCTGCTGAGCAGGGAGCCCAATACAGGGCTCGATCCCAGGACCCCAGGACCATGACCTGAGCCGAAGGCAGACACTTAACCGACTGAGCCACCCAGGCGCCCCTAAATATTATAAAAAAATTTTTAAAGCTCTATTTTTGGTGCAATTTCAAAACATGTATATTTAAATGTCTAAATTTCAATTTTATCTTAAATTTAGACATTATTGATAAAAAGCATTTAAAATATATATATATATATATATGCCATTTACCTGAACAACTAATGTCAGAAACTGTCTTTAGTAAGACCAGATACAGCACATTTTTAAAGACTAAAATCATGTGACCTTTTAGACAGAGCCATTGTTCTTATATAAACAGCATATTTAGTAAGCAGTTTAGCGATAATTTTGAAAAACATCTGATAAGTGAAATAACATATAAACTTGCATTTTGCAATATGAAAATTGTATTTCTTATAGCTAATTAGAAGACTAATAAAATTCTCATAAATGGCATCAACATCTCACAATAAACTAACTTCGAACATACTAGTACAAACTAAAACATTGCCGTAAGGGAAATTTAGCAGGGTCTAGCAAAATTACATAGGCAATTAACCTTTGACCTAGGAATCTCACTTCTTGATATCTGTCTCAAAGATACACTCAAAAATACAAAAAGAACATACATTCATTGCAGCACTGTTCATAATTGCAAAGGAATAGAAACCACACAAATATTGACCAATGAGAGCTAGCTGACTATATTATAACAGACATTATACACTTTTAAAAGAATTGAGGAATACCAATGAATATACTATATACTGCTAAGCAGCAGTTTCTCAATCTTTTTGTTTTTTCACTGTTGCCCCAAGTCCTTTTAGACATTTTTATTCCTAATCACCCCACACATATACTTAATATCACAAACATAGTGTATATCTGTTTATGTACCTTGGCCTTTTGGAGGGCCACAAGCCACTATAACATCCGATTTTTTTTCACCCTTCAAGAACCAATTCTTGTCCTATTGAGGCTATATATCTATAGCCTCAATGGAGGCTATCACCTATCTTAGGTTGACAGCCCCCACTGAGAAGGCAGACTGTAGAGTGATCTCCAGGGTATACTGTAAAGGTGAAAACAGCAAGGCAGAGAAAAGTAATACAGTATACTAATGCTTATCTAAGATGAGGGACAGAGAGATGGCTGGATGTATGACGGGTAAATATAAATTAAAACTTTTTAAAATGGTGACTTATAGGGTAGGTAGGAAGGAAGGAACCAGAAAGAAGTTAAATTTCTTTGAATATCCTTTGTTTCAGAGATTTGACTTTGGAACCACTCAACTACTTAACATAGTTATGGCACAACATTATATTTAAAAACTTCAACCCTTAAATATCAAAAGTAGATGAAACAAACGAACTTAACTGCACATCAAGTTAGCATCAAATGTATACAAAGAGGAATTATTTCAAGTAACTTTAAAACATAGAAATTTATCCATTTATCCCACAAGGCTATAGCTTGAGGAAAAGAAGAGAAAGAAATCCTCCATGTTTGCAGCAATAATACGTTAGTTCTGAGAGCACTCTATGTATCCTGTGGGATACGGCAAATGAGTAATTATGTTAGGGTCATTAGGAGCCATGGTTTTCAGCCTGTATACATATATAAGATTAAAGTAAAAACTTTATGGCCCTGAATTTAAATTGGAAATATCAATACAAACTCATAGTTTTTCTTTAAAAAGGAAAACCTATTTTCTAGCTCTGTCCACTACAAAGGCCTAGAGATAATGACCAATCTAATAGCAAGGAACACCTCTGGTACCCAGACTGTAATTTCTAAATACCATTTCCTACTAAAAGAAACTACTGCTCCTTAGAAAAATGGTGGATTACAAGTCTGAGAGAGAAAATGTATAATATGAACATCTAATCATAACACAAAGTAAGAAAACTATCAATCAAAAGCTCCTGGAATCACGTAAAATGCCACAAAAATGAACTTGAGGAGGTTCCTACAAAAGACATAACAATCTGAATGTCGACAAAAATAAAAACAGCAAAAAACTTAAATACTTCCAATATATGTAAATTCATGTGTTTATAAAAATGTATTTTTTCAAAATCATCAGTTACCTTTGGAACATGCTAGATTTTCAATTCGTTACTTTTAAAACTGCTAAATTAAAAAAAAGGAATCTAGATTTTATCCTGCCTCTCCTTGTAAGAACTGTCCTTAAGTGTTACCAAATTGTTATGGAGAAATATCACTTTACAGAACTATTCTAATTAATAAATAAGGAAGTATAGAATTAGAATATTGTTATTATATGTAACCCATAATGAGATGATAAATCTAGGCAATGACCATCAAATGGCTGCTAATATCATAAAAAGAGAGACAACCAGATATATACCTCTTTTTTGGGGGGGGGGGGATTTGGAATCTGATCCCTTACTTAAATATAAATGCCTTAGTGAAATGTTACAATAATATCATCTCTTTTGCTGAGATAAAATAAGTATTTGTATATTTTATGTTTCAGAGGTAGAATTTAGTGATTCATCAGTTGCATATAATACCCTCTGCTCATTATATCAAGTGTCCTCCTTAAGCCCATCACCCACCTAACACTGCCTATCCCCTCCCCTAGATATATGCCTTTTGGCTGAAATACACACCACTACCTATTAGGTGCTCCTGCCAAAAAGTAAACCTTAAATCTAATCAAGCCTTTAAGTCTAACTACCAGTTTATAGAAAATATAGGCAAAAGAAAAACATGCTAAACCTGGGGATGCAGTCGGCAAAATCCAGACTGTGAAAAGCTTTATAAGATAAATACCTCAATTTCTTCAGTAAATATCTTGAAAGGGAGAAAATGAGAAGAATGGGGAAGTATATATCAAAAGGTATTGATATATATCAGCCAAAAAAAAAAAAAGAAATGTATCAACCAATCACAATGTATAGAATTATTTGGATCCTGATTTCAATAAACACATTATAAAAAATAAATCTGAGACAAAATTTGAATGACTAGCTTTTTGAAAATATGAATATTATGTTGTAAAATATTTTTATCTTTCCAAGATACATAATGAAATATTTGCTAATGAAGTAGAATGATGTTTTGGATTTGTTTCAAAATAAACTAGGAGTACGGCGGATAGAAAAGACAAAGTTGGCTGTGAGTTGATAACTCACAGGTGATACACGATTTACCCAGCTTCATACAACTCTCTTCATATAATTTCCTATTTCTGTGTATGTTTGAATTTTCAATAAGTTTTTTAAAACGCAGCAAGAGTAAGACATAAATCTACACATTACTTTAATGGTTCTCAATTGATTATTATGAAGATCATAGATTCCTTTTCAACACAGACTAAAGGTTAACACTCAGGAATATGTCACCTTCAGGTATGAACAGTCTTCAACAAATCCCAACAAAGAATTATGGTGAGAATCTAAATGACAATATCTACTGATGTTTGGGCATCAGAATAATAAAACTGTCATTTTGGCATAACTTAAATTTGAGGTTCTATATGACTCAGATACTACATTAAATAACTCAGTAGCTTCATTTTACGTATTCTTAAATTAATTTTAAAGTCCAATAAATACAATAAAAAAGAACAGATATAAATCTCAATACTAACACCAAATAGTATTTATTATGTAATCACAGGTATATAATATATAAAGATTTGTCTAAACAAATCCTTAAACAAAATTCCCAGAATTATAATGTTCTACAAGAGTCACCTATTTATCTTTACTCTATTTTTTTTACATTCTTGATGACTTTTGACAATAGATGCAATAATGGCCTGCACATTATTAACCACATCAAAAATATTTAATAGATAAATGTGCTAACAGTTTAAAATTATGTATACTAATAATCACATACTGTAATTTAGAATGATAAATCTACTGAAACAACAAGTAACGAAAATACCACAGTCTGAAAAAAGTATTTAGGTTCATTTATCTAGCTAAATAAGCTGGAACAATTCCAATACTTTCTACTCTGATATGTCTCAGTGTGTACATTAATTCAGACCTTCTAGTAAGTTGTATGTTCACTACAACGACTGTTGTGCTGCTTTTATCAGAGAAACTTATATATCAGTCAACTGTACTGTAATACTAGTTTCATCAAATAGCAGCACATTGGCTTTTTGACTTTATCCCAGAGCATACAATGCAGATGTCTTCTTACTATATTGTTTTGAAGATCTAAATTATGGGAGATTATATCAGGATCAAAGATTATGTTACTTTTTTATAACTTCCAATAATAAAAATCCCTTAAGTGGAATCCCAAGGTGACCTCTGATGAACGAAATCATAATAAGCTGGAACTTATAATTAACTCTGTTTTCCACCTTTTCTCCCCCCAACCCCAGAAAAAAAGGAAAAAAAGTCTTATGACTAGAAAACAAACTAGTTTCATTAATTGTTATCAATTACTATGGTAGGTCCTGGCTCAGTGAACCTATAACTCAACTGCCAACTTATAACCCGATTGCCCACGATTTAACATCTACTGCACTATAAAATCAGCACTGATGTTCAGAGTGATTTTTTTGAGGTCCTATAAATCCTCAAGCAAATATATTAAAAAGCATACATAGCTCTCAGGTCAGATGAGACCTGGATTGAATCTCAACTCTACTGTTTTAGAACTTGCTGTATGACCTGGAGCAAGTTATCTAATAAGACTTTCTATGCTTCAGTTTCCTTATCTATTAAAATGAGGATAAGATTACTTATCTTATAGAGGTTTTTTGGGGGGTGGAGGGGGCCAAATAACATATGTAACATACTTTGCACAGTACCTGGTAGAGAGAACAATTCAAAAGGTGCTCTTAGGTTTTATAGTGGTGGTGGTTACAGAATAATGGTGGTAGTAAGTAGTAAGGGAAAAAAAAGTTAACAACAATGAAAACTGAAAGTTTCTACATAAACCTTTACAATAAGAAAGAGCAAATAACACTATATCCCTGAATTTCAAAGTAACTGAAGATTTTCTATTTCAAAATCTGCAAGATACCAAGGTTCAGATATTTGTTAGGCCCACAGTGAGACTTCTGTATTACATCTGCACTTGAATGTCCTTACCTCAGCATCACAATTAAGATAGTGTGTATTGTAGGACTCTTGCCTACTTATCAGCATTAGTGATGTAAACTGTGTTCTTAGTTTATTAAAATGATTATGCCCAATGCAGGGCTCGATCCCAGGACCCCACTGGGATCATGACCTGAGCTGAAGGCAGACACTTAACTGACTGAGCCACCCAGGTGCCACCAATCTTTATTTCTCAGGGCTATCCTATTCAGAGGATAAAAACACTCTATAGAATCAGCTCCCAATATCTATCAACATTCATAATATTAGTGAAATCAAGTGAAAGACAACTTCTGTCATTACAGAAGTCAATTTTTCTAAAGTAGTGACAAAATTAGTGTTTATTTTAAAAATATATTCCAGGGTCCCTGGGTGGCTCAGTCAGTTAAGCATCAGATTCTTGGTTTCAGCTCAGGTCATGATCTCAGCCTCGTGAGACTGAGCCCCACGTAGGGCTCTGCACTCGGCACAGAGTCTCTTTGTCCCTCTCCTTCCCCCTTCTGCATCACCCCACTCTCTTTCTCTAATAAATAAATAAAATCTTTAAAAAAATAAAAATAACCTGGGTGGTTCAGTCAGTTAAGCATCTGCCTTCAGCTCAGGTCATGATCCCAGGGTCCTGCATCAGGCTCCCTGCTTAGCGGGGAGTCTGCTTCTCTCCCTCTGCCCCTCTCCCCCAACCCCTGCTTGTGTGCTCTCTCAAATAAATAAAATCTTTTTAAAAAATTAAAAATTAAAAATATAAAAATATATTCCATTCATTCAAAAAACAGAAATATTTAAAATTTCAGAGGTAAAAGGGAAACTAAAAATCATTTTGTCCATGCTAGGAAACCAAAGTAGGCTTCAAAGAACTATGATCCACCCAAAATTAATTGTAAAATTTTAGGTACAGGTATATTTTTATGGAAAGACGATCTAATCAACAGCTTTCAATGGATTCTCAAAGAGGCTTGTGACTCAAACTTTTTCTGTAGACATCCAAATCTAGATTAGGTTCCTCCCCTAAGGTTAGAGCTCCATAATAATCTGTACATTCATCATCATACAGTATTGCACTGTATGATGACAACACAGTCATTTCTGTCTCCTTCCTTCTGCCAAATAAATTGTAAAAACAGAGTAGAGAGCATCTCTGCTTTGTTCATGACCATATTCCCAGTAATCTGCCTGGTGTCTGATATGTAAAGGTGATCAATAACCATTTCTTGAATGAATGAATCATTTATGTCATTAAATTTGGGCCACCTTTTAAAAAATGCATTCTAAATAAATATTCCAATTACCTATCCTTAGTCAACAAGAATTTATAATTCAGTTAAATTTATTTTGAAGCTAACTTTTCCAGAATGTATTAAATATCTATTAAGTTACAGAACACATCTTCCATACAACTTCTTTATTGTCACTTAGTAGTATAAGGTTTGGATGGGTTTTCCAGGAGAGGGACTTCTACAAGGATATTGCAAGCCTGCTTAACTGAATGAAATTTTGATGACCTGTACCTGGTTTATCTATAAATTAAACATTTTGACATGCTCTCACATAAAATAACTAAAATCCAGGGGCATGTGGATGGCTCAGTTGTTAAGCGTCTGCCTTTGGCTCAGGTCAGGATCCCAGGGTCCTGGGATCGAGCCCTGCACTGGGCTCCCTGCTCGGCGGGAAGCCTGCTTCTCCCTTTCCCACTCCCCCTGCTTGTGTTCCCTCTTTCGCTCTCTCTGTGTCAAATAAAAAAAAATAAAAAATAAATAACTAAAATGCTAATGTTAAAAATATTTTCAAAATAAGAACGTAGGAAAAATTGGGTGTTTTCCATCACCAAATGGAATTTTTTGCAATGTGATAAACACTGCACATGAGAATTTTAATAATTATCGAATAATGATTGTTATATACAAATATAATAATTACATTATTAAATAATTATTTAATAATTATTAAATTTAAAACCTATCAAGAACTTTTAAAATGAATTTAATTTTAGATATACTGGTATTCCTTCCTGCACCTTGATCTACTAACTTGACACAAAACTATTTCAACATTTTGGAAATGTTATTTTCAAAGTTGTGACTGGCCTTTCATTAGTACCATCTACCAGAAAATTTAATTTTGTTTCTCCATTCAAATGTTTCTGTAAATACTGGTCCTTACAGTTTTTGTATTGCTAAGACTAAAATATCACAATGATAACATTACTAAACAGATCAGTCTGTAACAAAAATATTCATGTAACTTACATACATTCACACTTCCCCAGCTAACATTATACACTAAAATTTATTCTTTAAAAACTTCTAACATTATTTCTAAAAGCTTACTTAAAGGACATACCGGAAGCTGTGAATGCCCTGAAGTTCCTGCTGTAGAACCTCTTGTGTTGTTGCTATTAAGTCCAATGCTCCAACAAATTCAGAAGTGGATAACAACACCTGTACTGTAGGCTGAGTCTGGTGTACAGTGGCCATTAACTTGAGTTTATTGTACACTTTAACACAATTGTTTCTGGTAAGTGCCAGTCTTAAAATGTGTAGTGATCCTTCACACATTACTTTATCAATCTGTGCAATTTTATCTCGAAGCATCTTTACAGCCTGGGAAGTTTTCTTGAGGTAGTCCTGCAATTCGTGTTGAGAGGTCATTGCATGAAAAAATGCTTCAGAACGTAGAGAGATCTGGTGAGCAATGTTTACTTCCACAATATCCAGATAATGGCTCAGCTTAAGAAGGAAAAAAAAAAAATCATGGAGTATTAGAAGATTACCTTCTTTGACTATCCAAATACTTTCTGAAAATGATACAGGATTTCTACATATATCTTAAATCCTATTGAATGAACTATTTGATTATGGGATTCTTGATATTGGGCATAATAAAATGGAAGGGAGGTGAAACGTTAATAAACGTAAGACAAAAGAGTAGAAGAAGCCGATTAACCTTCTTCCTCTGCTCCTGCTATTACCGCCCTCCAAACACCAACTACTTTCTAGAAAGTAAGAGTACCCCACAATAATCTGAGATTATAATCTAGTTTCAGAAGTTCTAAAATCTGAGAGAGAATGATTTCCTTAATCCCCGCACCAACACACATCACTCATCTGACTAAAAGTTTATTATAGTTACATTTATTGACCTCTTCCTTCTATATACCAGGCACTGGTATTTTATATACATAATTTTCTAGTTTTAACAATCTTAGAATTCAGGTATTAGTATTCTTATTTTACAGATGAGGAAATTGAGGCTCAGAGACATTAAATACTTTGAATAAAGTCATGTGGTTAGTAAGTGGCAAAACTAAAATTTGAACCTAAGTCTGTCTGACCCAAAAACTGAAGCTCTTTCTACTCTGCCACTCTGCCTCAAAAGAATCTGTGAAAGACAGATTCATGATCTGGTCACAAATTATAGAAAATACTAGAATTCATTGGGATGTTTTTTCAAGGCTGCTTACTTTACATTTCAAAAATTATTCTTTTATCAATTTATAAAACTCAGTTTATTTCCAATATACTTTCCTCTTAAAAGGTTGACAAATGCCTTAAAAGAGTTCATACATACTTTATTTGTAACACAACCAAGATTAATTCCTAGAGCAACATATATTAAATATGCTTTCTAATTTCAAATATGGACTCCTAAAACTTGATTTGCCTTTTCTTCCTTTCTAATTGCATATGCATTTTTTGGGCTACATTATCTTTCCATTTCTCTCCCACTTTTTAAACTTTTAGATTCTTCAACCTATAGCTCAAACTTTAGGCATTATCTCTCAACATCTCTGAGTCCTTTCCCACTTTCCTCTTGTGATTGAGTTCTAGTTTCAAAGCATTGTGGTCTGAAAATATGCAGGGAATGATCCCAATCTTTTGATACCAGTTGAGATCTGATTTGTGACCTAGGATGTGATCTATTGTGGAGAATGTTCCATAGGCACTAGAGAAGAATGTGCATTCTGTTGCTTTGGGATGTAATGTTCTGAATATATCTGTGAAGTCCATTTGGTCCAGTGTGTCATTTAAAGTCTTTATTTCCTTGTTGATCTTTTGCTTAGATGATATGTCCATTTCAGTGAGGGGGGTGTTAAAGTCCCCTACTATTATTATATTGTTGCCGAAGTGTTTCTTTGATTTTGTTATTAACTGGCTTATATAATTGGCTGCTCCCATGTTAGGGGCACAGATATTTACAATTGTTAGATCTTGTTGGATAGACCCTTTAAGTATGATACAGTGTCCTTCCTCATCTCTTATTATATATGATATAGTGTCCTTCCTCATCTCTTATTATAGTCTTTTAAACCAAAAACTATAGTATTGTATTTTTAATACAATTTTTAATACAATACTGTATTTTTCAACTATCGTATTTTTGCTTCAAAATAATCATCCTTGCGATGTGGAAATAAGGAAAAATGATACCTCAGCAAGAGTTGATTTTCCATGCTTCACTCATAAAGAATACAAAATTAGCCAATATATTGTTTGGGATAAATGTAAAGCAATTAATTGTGTTATCTAATACATCCTTTAAACTGAAATTCCATCAACTGCTATTTTAGATAAGAAGCACTCCAACAATGAGCTTTTCCTTTTTCACCAGCACAACTTGTTTTCCATTGAATCAAATGCTTTTACTTTATCAGTTAAGATTTGAAGGCAGTAACAATAAAAATGAAATTAAAATAGCCCTTACTAAATAACTAAATCAGAACCCACACAAAGGTACTACTTAACTAGAATATAGTTTTCTACATGGAAAGAGTAAAAAAGAAATTACCTTTTCTTGCAGCAACTTCGAGGAAGCTGCATCACGATTTCCTTTTCCACCAGCAGTATTAAAATGAGACCATGGTAAAACTGAATTAAAAGTTAAGGAATCGTCCAAGGCAAAATCTGGTTTCATAAAAATCTATTAAAAAATGTATTTTCCTCAATTAGATAAACATTTTTTTACATCCATTATCCCTTCAAACATCATAAGACCATTAAACAATGATTAACTTGGACCTGAAGCATAAACAGCAAAAGCCAGTGATGATACGTTGATTTACACAAAAATCTGTATAAAAAATGTATAAATAGTGTTTCATCAAGCTAAAAATACTCATGAAAGATAGAAAATTGTTTTTTGTCTTTACCAATGGAGGTGATCATTCCATTACTATGTAATCAAATTCACTAATGCAGTCCCACCAGGCACACACCAAAGGGAGATGGATATCTCTTATCCCCAAATTTCTATATTAGTTCCCACTCACAGTAGTTTTTAAAAAATGCCAAATATCAAATTCTCTGTATTTATATTTCTACTTTCTCCTGCTTAAAATGCTTTCAAAATTAGTTTTGTAGATAGACATATACTAAGTTTTAAAACCAAAACAAATTCAATTCTATGAAAAGATCACTCTTTCCTTTACATACCACATCCATCTGGGCACAAAGTCCTACCCATTGTATTTTCTATAAATAAGACTTGAATGCTCTCTCTCCTCTACATCTATAGCATTTCGTCGGTGCAGCTCTTCATTATCTCTGGATTACAGTAAATGGCTATTTATTCATGTCCTTCCTCAATCTCTTCCCTATACCGCTGTCAGATGTACTTTTAAAATGTAAGTATAAATGAATTAACTTCTCTGTTTAAATCTCTCAATGGATTCCCATGACCTAAGGACCAAACTCTTTAGAATGGCATCAAAGGCCCTTCATTTTTTTTTAACTCCCTCACCAATTTGTATTTTGCCACTCCCACTATTTACAAGTTACATTCTAGCAATACTCAACTTCCATATCCTCTTGTGCTTAATTATCTTTGTACATGCTTTCAGCCTAAAATGCCTTTCCTGCTTATTTTCTTAGAGAATACCACCAAATCAAAAGGGCAAACATTATCTCTGTATGAACACTTACCCCATCTCTGAACACATCAGTCGCCCCATCTCTGAATTTAAGTACATATGCCACATATATTTATGTATCTCATACTTCACAAAAATTATTTATTGAATATATGTATCGCCCCCTGGAGATCATATGTTTCTTTAAGACTGGATTTATAGCTAATTAATCTTTGTATCTCCAGTACCTAGCATAAGGCCTGAAACATGGTTTAACTTAATTTCTATGCTATATTTTATTATATTTACTGATCCATTTTATCTATATCCAAAAATTAGTATAAAGTGATAGGGAAAAACTAACTAGGGGCATGAGTGTATTTTCTAGTCCCTGCTTTAGTATAATTAAAAGTACTGATTAATTCAATGAATATTTACTGATGATGTAACCCTTATGCTAGGCACTAAGGGGGAAACAAAGATAAATTATTACATAGGTCCTAATCCCAAGGATCTTTAGTCCAATGGTTGTGATAAAATATATACATAAATATCTTAAAAGAAGAAGAGTGACAAATGCCTTAAAAAGAAGGCACAAATCTACATTAAATACTATGGAAATTCAGCAAGGGGCCAATTATCTTCAGTTGGAAAGAAATGTATTCATGTAAAGTTGCCATTTAAGCAAGAGAATGTAAAGAAAGAATTAGATATGGGGAGGTGAGGAAAAGTCTTCCAGGCTAAAGGAACAGTGCAAGTAAAGAACAGAGCCTGCAAAATAGTTTGGCTGAAGTAAAGAATGTGTAAAAATTAGTAAGCAAAAGTTGAGTGTGACTATGATGGAAATGAATAATCAAGGGCCTTAAATGACAGAGTTTGAATTTTATTTTGTAGTAATCAACTACTTTAAAAATGACTGCCTTTTTGTTTCTGTCTGCTGTCTTTCTATGTCTTCTCACCTTAGAGAGCAGTTATCACAGACCTCTTAGAGAATCTAATTAATGCAATAGACTCTTTCCCCGGGGGGGAAGAAAACATCTATTACACATCTCTCTAAAATTTTTCATATAAAGGACATGTCTCTGAATAATTTGAAGGGGTAGTAACATCAATAAAATTCTTTCTCAGAATGGAGAGACTTAGGGCGCCTGGGTGGCTCAGTCATTAAGCGTCTGCCTTCAGCTCAGGTCATGATCCCAGGGTCCTGGGATCGAGCCCCGCATTGGGCTCCCTGCTCAGCGGGAAGCCTGCTTCTCCCTCTCCCACTCCCCCTGCTTGTGTTCCCTCTCTCGCTGTTTCTCTGTCAAATAAACAAAATCTTTAAAAAAAAAAAAAAAGAATGGAGAGACTTAAACATATTTGTAGATTTCAGTAATGAAGAAGAAATTGATGATGACAAAACAAAGAAGAAAAGTGATGCACAAAGTCCCAGAACAGGCAAAGTGGTTAAAGTGTAAGAAAGTCAAATGAAAGCTTCTTATAAAGCAAAACTAAAGATACTAAAGATTATAAAAAATTAAAGATATTAAGAAGCAGTATTCTCATTTATTAAGCTTTGTTACCTTAGGTACTTGCTCCAGATCTGTCCTGGATTTATCTATTAAAAAAAGGAAAAGAGAAAATATGATTTTTTTTATACTTGTTTTCATTTTATTCCATAAAATATACTCACCAACTAGATCTCAGGTCCTTTCCAAAACTAACCTTCCTGGGTTGGACTCCATGCCTTCCTGCCTCTTCTGTGAGCGTGCTTCATCAAATACCCTGCCTCTGCCTCTTTCCATATCTTCAGCCTCTTCCCTTCTAATAGTTCCTCTCTGTGTATATACATGCTCAGTTCTCTTCCATTAAAACAAACCAAAAAAAAAAAAAAAAAAAAGATAAAGACAAAACCCAGGGCCTGGACTAGGCTAAGGCAAGGGAAGCCCTCCAGTACAAAACTTAAAGAAGCACTCACTCTCAGGTTATGCAAATGTGTCTCCTGCCTCATCTAGTGTTGACCATGCAAAAACATTCTTACACTCTACTCTGTTCTCTCAAAACCCTATAACTCAAATCCTCAAGTCATATTCACAGTGGTAGTCTCCATTTCTTTCTCTTGTACTCACTCTTTAATATATAGGATTGTGTTTTCTCTAATCACCACTTCAAGTCTGAATGCCCTCCGTAAGAGATCCTAAATTGTGAAATCCACAGAAACTTCTCAGTGTGTAAACTGATCATTACCACCAACTGACTGGCCACCAAAACCTGTGCTTTGATCTCTAATGTATCTCTCAAATGCCTAAATTCCTCTCCATCTTCATTATAACTGCTATTGGGGCCATATGATTTCTCACGTGTATTACTGCAATGGCCTCCAACCATCTCTTTGCCTCCAGTTTATCAACATCCTTAAATTTGTTTTCCACAACTGTTTTCACGGTGAAATGTATAATCATAAATCTGATGTCTGGTTAAAAATATTCTGTGGCTCTGTACAGCTTTTAGAAAAGAAAAATTCCTTAGCATGGCATACAAGGCTCTTCAGGATCTGACCCCCCTGCCTACTTCTTCAGCCTCACTTCTTACTCCCAGTAGAGCCAACATACTGAACTCTTGCAGTTCTTTGAACATGGTCTGTTCTTTTTTTTTTTAATTTTGACTCTATTGCTTTGCATACATTGTTCCTTCTTCCTGGAAGGCCTTTTCCCCACATAAATCTTTCTCAGCAGCTAGTTTAGAACACAGGCAATCATCAACTCTAGAAGTTTTCTAAGGCTTAACAAATTAGGAGCTCTATACCATCTTGCCACGCTGAACTTACTGCTTGATATACAGGGCTTCAATTGTTGGTTTATTTATGTAACCCTACTCAGGAGACTATCAGCTTCTTGATGACAAGTGCTCTTTGTTACTCATCTATTTTTAAACAACAAGCAAAATACCAAGCACCCAGATGTTAAATAAATATTTGTTGAAATGAAGGATAACACTACAATGAGACCCACGGTTTTTCTCTTAAAAGCTTTTGGAAAAGATTACGATCATAGGCTATAAAAATCTCACTAAAAATAAAAATTATAGGTATAACAGCCATCAAGGTCCCAAAATTAAGATTTTGTTTGTTGATATTTATGCTATGCTACAAGTATCACGTATTTAATCTCCACATTGTCTACAAATAGCACATATTCATACCATGAGTATATAAGAGAGTCCTGTCAAAGGTATCTTTAGAAGGACAAATATTCTTGCATCTCTCATGTATCTTCTCTCTCTATAAAAAGACAAATAACAAAATCAATGCTATGTAGCAATATGAATATTCAAAGCATCAAAATGTTTCACAAAAGAATATACCAAATTAGTTCTACAATTTTTAATGTGAAATCACTAGCCTCTTGAATTTAAACACAAATAAGTATGTTTAATAAACCAATACAAGCTCTATGAACATCTATATGCTTATACTCATCCCATTTTACATAATTATAGTAAAATCTCCATAATTTTAGCATGAAGTGGGAATGCAAATAAAAAATCCTTATTTATAGAACAGAAATCAATTGAAAATAGTTTTTTAAAACAAGCAAGAAAATGTGAAAACCTATATACCTAAGACAGGTTATTAGTTGACACTGAGTCAAGAAAGAAAGAAAGAAAGAAAGAAAGAAAGAACGAAACCCTACACTGATTTCAGATTAGATGGTCACTAACAACAATTTTATCTTTTCAGAGATACCATAAATTAGGACACATAGGGAAAATGGAGAATGGAAAGGAAAAAACACTGAGCTAGTAGTGTTCAGAGTCCTAACAGCAACTGTGGCAGGAACTATAGGATTGTCTTCCAACATAGCTGTACCATTTTGCAGTCATACCCACAATGAATAAGAGTTCCTATCAGTCCACATTCTTGCCAGCATTTGGTGCCGTCAGTGTTCTGAATGTTTGTAATTCTGATAGATACATAACAACATCTCATTGTTGTTTTACTTTGCAATTCCCTAATGACGTATAATGTTAAGCATCTTTTCCTATGCTTATTTGCCAGCTGAATGTCTTCCTTCATGAGATGCCTGTTCATATCTTTTGTGCATTTTTTTATTATGGCAAATACATATAACATATATGCCTTTAAACTTACCACTTAAAACTCTTAGTGATGTTGACTATCATTCCATATACTTACCGGTCATTTTTACATCTTCTTTGGAAAAATGTCCACTCAAGTCCTTTTCCCATTTTTTAGTTGTGCTGTTCTGTTGAGTTTTAAGAGTTATTTGTGTATTTTGGATACCAATCCTTTATCATACAGTGTCTAGCCTGTATACATTCTTTTATTAGTGTCTTTCACAGAGAAGTTTTTAATTTTAACCAAGTCCAACTTCTCAATTTTTTGTTTCATGGATTGTGCTTTTGATGCCATTATCTAAAAAATTATCACCAAACTCAAAGTCATGTATTTTCTCCTATGTGATCTTCTAGTTTTACAATTTTGCATTTTACATTTAGAGCTACAATTCATATTGTGCTAATTTCTGTGAAAGGTATGGGTAGTCTGTATCTAGATTCTTTTTCTTCCCTTTTTTTGGGGGGGGTTGGGCAGGTATATGTCTAGTTGTTCCAGTACCATTTACTCAAAAGCTACTGAGTTACTTTTGTACCTTTGTCAAAAATCAGTTGATATATTTGTGTGGGTCTATTTCTGAGCTATTTTGTTGCTTTGATCTATATGTTGTCTATTCTTTCACCAATACCACACTGTCTATAGTACTATAACCTCACAGTAAGTCTTAAAGTCAATTAGTTGTCAGTCCTGCAACTTTGTTCTTCAATACTTTGTTGGCTATTCTCTTTTCCCTTCCTATATAAACTTTGGAATTAGTTTCTTGGTATCTACAAAACAAATTGCTGGATTTCAACTGGGATTGTGTTGAATCTATAGACCAAGCTGGGAAGAACAGACATGTTGACAATATTGAATCTTCCTATTTACATACATGGAATCTCTCTCCATTTACTTAGATCTTCACCAATTCCTTTCATCAGTTTTGTAGTTATCCTCATATAGATCGTGCACATATTTTGGTAGATTTATACCTAAGTATTTTATTTTCTTTGGTGCTAATGTAGATGGTGCTGTGTTAACTTCAAATTCTAATTGTACATCACTAGCATTCAAGAAAGCAATTCACTTTTGTAGTATTAACCTTGTATCCTGCAATCTGGTTATAACTGCTTATTAGTTCCAGAAGTTTCTTTTCTGATTCTTTGGGGTTTTCTACATAGACAATCATGATATCTGTGAATAAAGACAGTTTTATTTCTTCCTTCCCAGTGTATATACCTTTTATTTTATTTTCTTGTCTCATTGCATAGTTAGGGTTTCCAGTATGATGTTCAAAAGGAGTGGTGAGAAGGGACATCCTTATCTTGTTCCTGATCTTAGTGGGAAAGCATCTAGCTTCTCATAGTTGCAGGGGTTTTGTAGATATTCTTTATCAAGTTGAACTTTCCCTATATTCCTAGTTTGCTGCGAGTTTTTATCATGAATGGGTACTGAGTTTTGTCAAATGTTTCCTCTATATCTACTGATACGAACATTATGATTTTTTCTTCTTTATCTTGTTAATGTATGGATTACACAAATTGCTTTTTGAATATTGGATCAGCCTTGCATAACTGGAATAAATCCCACTTAGTTATGGTACAGAATTCTTTTCATACATTATTGGGTTTGATTTTCCAATATTTTGTTAAGGATTTTTGCATCCATGTTCATGAGAGATAATAGTCTGTAGTTTTCCTTTTTCATAATGTCTTTGTCTAATTTGAATATTAGGTTAATGCTGCCTAAGAATAAGTTAGAACGTATCCCCTTTACTTCTATTTTCTGGAAAAGATCATAAAGAACTGGTATAACTTCTTACCTAAATGGCTGGTATAATTCACCAGTGAACCCATCTGGCCCTGGTGTTTTCTATTTTGAAAGGTTATTAATGATTCAATTTAACACATACAGTTTTATTTGGAGTGTCTATTTCTCGTGTAAGTTTTGGGATTATGTCTTCCAAGGAATTGATCTATTTCATCTAGGTTACAGAATTTGTGGGCATAGAGTTGTTCATAATATTCTTTTATTATCTTTTTAATGTCCGTGAGATCATTAGTGATGTGCCCTCTTTCATTTCTAATATTAGTAATTTAAGCCTTTTTTATTGTTATGTTAATCCCCATACATTACATCATTAGTTTTTGATGTAGTGTTCCATGATTCATTGTGCATAACACCCAGTGCTCCCTACTCAGGAGACTGCAGAACGTGCCCTCCTCAATACCCATCACCAGGCTAACCCATCCTCCCACACCCCTCCCCTCTAAAACCCTCAGTTTGTTTTTCAGAGTCCATCATCTCTCATGGTTCGTCTACCCCTCTGATTTCCCCCACTTCATTCTTCCCCTCCTGCTATCTTTTTTTTTTCTTAACATATATTGCATTATTTGTTTCAGAGGTACAGATCCGAGATTCAACAGTCTTGCACAATTCACAGCGCTTACCAGAGCACATACCCTCCCCAGTGTCTATCACCCAGTCACCCCATCCCTCCCACCCGACCCCCCCACTCCAGCAACCCTCAGTTTGTTTCCTGAGATTAAGAATTCCTCATATCAGTGAGGTCATATGATACATGTCTTTCTGTTTGACTTCTTTCGCTCAGCATAATACCCTCCAGTTCCATCCATGTCGTTGCAAATGGTAAGATCTCATTCCTTTTGATGGCTGCATAATATTCCATTGTATATATATACCACATCTTCTTTATCCATTCATCTGTTGATGGACATCTTGGCTCTTTCCACAGTTTGGCTATTGTGGACATTGCTGCTATAAACATCGGGGTGCACGTACCCTTTCGGATCCCTACTTTTGTATCTTTGGGGTAAATACCCAGTAGTGCAATTGCTGGATCATATGGTAGCTCTATTTTCAACTTTTTGAGGAACCTCCATACTGTTTTCCAGAGTGGCTGCACCAGCTTGGATTCCCATCAACAGTGTAGGAGGGTTCCCCTTTCTCCGCATCCCCGCCAACATCTGTCGTTTCCTGACTTGTTAATTTTAGCCATTCTGACTGGTGTGAGGTGGTATCTCATTGAGGTTTTGATTTGGACTTCCCTGATGCCAAGCGATGTTGAGCACTTTTTCATGTGTCTGTTGGCCATTTGGATGTCTTCTTTGGAAAAATGTCTATTCATGTCTTCTGCCCATTTCTTGATTGGATTCTTTGTTCTTTGGGTGTTTAGTTTGATGAGTTCTTTATAGATTTAGGATACTAGCCCTTTATCTGATATGTCATTTGCAAATATCTTCTTCCATTCTGTCGGTTGTATTTGGTTTTGTTGACTGTTTCCTTTGCTTTGCAAAAGCTTTTTATCTTGATGAAGTCCCAAGAGTTCATTTTTGCCCTTGCTTCCCTTGCCTTTGGCGATGTTTCTAGGAAGAAGTTGCTGCGGCTCAGGTCGAAGAGGTTGCTGCCTGTGTTCTCCTTTAGAATTTTGATGGACTCCTGTCTCACATTTAGGTCTTTCATCCATTTTGAGTCTATTTTTGTGTGTGGTGTAAGGAAATGATCCAGTTTCATTCTTCTGCATGTGGCTTGGGTCCAATTTTCCCAACACCATTTGTTGAAGAGACTTTTTTCCATTGGACATTCTTTCCTGCTTTGTCAAAGATGAGTTGACCATAGAGTTGAGGGTCCATTTCTGGGCTCTCTATTCTGTTCCATTGATCTATGGGTCTGTTTTTGTGCCAGTACCATACTGTCTTGATGATGACAGCTTTGTAATAGAGCTGCAAGTCCGGAATTGTGATGCCGCCAGCTTTGCTCTTCTTTTTCAACATTCCTCTGGTTATTCAGGGTCTTTTCTGGTTCCATACAAATTTTAGGATGATTTGTTCCATTTCTTTGAAAAAAGTGGATGGTATTTTGATGGGGGTTGCATTGAATGTGTAGACTGCTCTAGGTAGCATAGACATCTTCACAATATTTGTTCTTCCAATCCATGAGCATGGAACGTTTTTCCATTTCTTTGTGTCTTCCTCAATTTCTTTCATGAGTATTTTATAGTTTTCTGAGTACAGATCCTTTGCTTCTTTGGTTAGATTTATTCCTAGGTATCTTATGGTTTTGGGTGCAATTGTAAATGGGATCGACTCCTTAATTTCTCTTTCTTCTGTCTTGTTGTTGGTGTATAGGAATGCCACTGACTTCTG